TAGTCATTTTGTCAATGATTTCCAAATCCTCATACAATCACTGGAATAGCAGATTAACCCAAATGCTAGCTGCCAGCTACCATTTATCGGAAATTTTCGTGGTTAATGAAACTTTCCTGAAGTTTGTCTGCTCTTAGTGTACGCCGCGGTCTTCTTGTGGCGTCTTTCGTGGGTGTATGAGTGTAAGTGCACGCGGTACGCTGACGACGAAACTCGTCCGAAACTGCGACGCGACTGGACAGGTCAACTGCTCGCTTTGGCGCGGCAACCAATCACAGCGTGACCTTTGCGGCGGGCTGACCTATCACTATCATCGCGATTAGAGCGGGTTCAGAAGGGCCTACACCCGTTTCAAACGTTAGTAAGGTGACCTGGGCGGGGTAGGAATCTCGGAAAAATCAATAATCAGAAGATTAACGAAGTCCATACTCGAAGAAAAAACAGGTGAAAAGCAAGCCTTGACAATTTCTGATTTTATAAACTGTAGCCATCCAAAGTTTGCGTCTAACAAATCAGACTTCTACTTCCAAAACCTTTCTGAAATTTCATAAAACTAAATCTGCAAACGCAAAAGGAAATGCAATAAAATTCTCACATTTCGTCCTATATTCAACGAATTCAATCGTATATCACACTATATGCTCCAATAAAACGCACGCGAGAGATTGATTGCGATTTTCGCATCTCTTTTATGTGAAAATTCCACTAGAATGTTATGTGCGTTTCATCGCTAGAATTCCATACTCTGGCAGATGTTTGCGGATGCGCTCTATATATACTCATAATTCTGCAAATTTTCGTGAAGGTGCAAAGAGCAAAAGGATTGGCATGCATTTAAGTGCTTTAATCCACAATCACACTTCTTATCGCATCCATATTACCGTATTTCGCATCCTTTATAGTAAGTAGAATCATGTGATATTCTTAACTAAACAAAACTCTGAACGTCTTTGAACGCTCCCAAGCTCTGGGCAGCGCTGAGCTAAAAGTGTTCCATAATTTTTGGAGAAGATTTGCTGAAGCAATCGTTGTTCTTGGAGTGTGAGATTTATACCATATTCTTCAAGCAATTTATAGTAAACCTTGGTTGGTTTTTCTTCTCCGAGTATGTGGCGGATGTCATTTGTCGAAGTCTGCTGTATAATCTTCCATAACGGCGACAGCATCATTTTTTACTTCTTTTTTTTCCCTTTACCTAACCTAACCAACATGGATTCAATAAAACTTTCTGTAAATGCAGTCGCTTAAACAGAAAGAAGCTGTAAAAATAGCTAAAAATAGCCAATAATAGGTTTTTACTCATTTCCTAATGGATTCATAGGTGTGCATAAGCAGGTATTATCAAAAACAACTTATGACATTTGTTGCGAAGGATGTGTGACGAAGCTGCTGAGGAAGTTGCGCAGATTATGAAAAATTGTAAAAGAATACAATACAATTGTGCTTTCGATATTTTTTGGCTTCTACCTCACTCTTATCTATCATGTTTTGCTAATATACAATTTTATGCTGGAAAATCGAGGTGTCACAATACAAATTCACATCCACAAAATAATTCTTTTCGATCAGATCTTTATCTTGCATCTACGTGGCTTCACTTCTTTTTTTCTTTACCCTCACCCTCATTCTTTGCGTAAGCCTTCCAACTTGACGAATTTTTTAGCAATCTCAGCAATCACCTCAGTTCCGTTTTGTGAGCCTTTTAACTTCCTGTATTTTTTCTACAATCTCAGCAATCAGGGGCTTTTACCTAGCGTGCCCAAGTGACGTCTTATGACCTCAGTTATGAATCAGTCATACATCCTATGCTATCAAATATTCACTACGAGACCAGACCTACATACTTGATTGCTCCGTATCCCCCTCCCCTCTCTTCTTAAACCTAGAGTAACGACTCCACTTGTTCCAATGTTTCCGAACTGCCCCAAGTTAGGTAATAAATCAACGCAAATACTAGACATTGTCTTCGAGAGCGGCACGAGGTTGTACTTGCGCTTTTAACGATACCCGAAAGGGTACCAAATTTAGTTGTATTAGTTGAGAAAGCTAGTTCATTGGAGGTACAAGCTCATCAAGGGCGGAGCTATGAAAACTCAATTGCGCTTCATCTCCGCCCTCACCCATGGGGATGCGAAAGCAAGGGTCTTATCGCACACGGATGGCAGCCGTTCACTTTCCATTTACAGTCGTTTGATAAGATCTATGCTTCATTATCCTTAACCATTTATTCATGCATTGAAGGGGTAGAGGGGTATAGAAAGGCTGTGAGAGTGCAGCAGATTTTAGCAAAAAAAAAACAAGCAACGTCACAGTTTTAGATTGTCAATGTTTGAAGAATCAGGTATTGCGAATTCAATTTGAATTTATTTGGATTCGAAATGATTGGTTCATCTACAATCCATCATTGATTTATAATATCTCTACAACGTAATTTCCAAAATCTTAATACCACTTCTATAGGAAGTGACGATGAAATCGAAGTCGCTATATGAAAATCATAGGTAGGGGGTAAGACAAGAGTATATCGTGAAGAGTTTTTATCCTTTCGAAACCGAGCGTATATTTCCCCTTCCCGTCCATTTCTTCCCCAACTGACATCAAACATCTTCCCATCCCTTCTGCCTGATTAATCCCCTTTTTCTTTTTTCAGTTTTTTCGCAGTTTCCAACAAAATGTTGTTGATATCGTGCCCCTAATCCTCTAGCTTTGTTATTGCCTTGGCTTTCTCACGAGTAACCGTCTCGAGTATGCTTAGACTATTTTACCCTGTGTAATTAGAAATAACAACAGGAGACGCGATTTGCGGATAACGGGGGTGGGTAACTTACTTGTTGGAGAATTTGCCCTTTGGTCATTTCTGTTCAGTGAAGCAGTAACTTCAAGCTGTAGCACGGCTAGCCGCAAATCTTTGTTCGGATCTTCTTCCCTCAAGACTAAAACTGCATTTAACTGCTCATACTGTCTCAGGGGAGCATTGCAGGAAATGACTATTGACCAGATAAAAGCGTTTGACAGCAGACAAGTTATAGAGCTCATCTCATTCCTTTGTTTTTTGCATTTATCTTCAATTCAAATCAAAACGTCATTTTCAAATCCCAGACTTTGTCATCATTTTTTATTGAATCCGTTTGTACAAGACTCATTGACCATTTAAGCTTTTTCACTTCAGGTGTTATCTTTCATTTTCAGCATTTGCTCTGCATTTCGGAAAAACGGCACAGTGCTAATTTGTTGCTGAAAATACTCTGCAATTTACATTAGCATTGTTATCTATACAAGACTGCTGGAGCCTAGAAGGAAGCTTGCTAAATTAACGAGCTGCTAGGCAGGTTTCCTTTGTAAAAGGATTCAAAAACGCCTGATAAATCGCGGATTTTGAGTTTTGCAGAAAATTATGCTCATTGCATTATTACTCGCTCATTACTCGCACATTACTCGCTTACTCATTTCGCTGTAATCTGTTGCTTCCCCGATTATAAAATTATTTAGTAGCTTGAATTGAACCAAAAAGTGTTCGTAAATGGCATATTATGCGTCACATCCTCGCCATTTGCTCTGACAGGCTTCTCTAGTGATTACTCTTAGAAACGATCAAGCATCACTAGGCTGTTTTTAACACTCAGTTTATGGAAAAGCTGAAGTCTCATTAACCCTACATCATGCGCGGAGATGCCTAATTCAAGAAAAAAAATGGGTGTGGTCAAGTTTTTCATTCTTTTTGTGGCAAATGTTTCATTGTGAGTTGCCCCCTTTTTAGAAGGTTTACTTTTTGCTCAAACGTCTTTTCTTCTTCTCTGTTTGTCCCTTCGTGTTGGATGAGTTGACGACTCACTGTCATTCATTGATAAGCATAAACAACGAGCATGCAAGCTACTATTCCGAGTTTGTGGAAGCAGAATAGCAATTGTTGACAACTTTCCAACTGGAATTATAAATGCCCAAAGGCATGCCATGGAAACGCAAATATTTACTGCATGCTTGATGAACTACACTTCCACACATTTCAAACAATAGAGCCTCTATGACTTTCCACTTTAATGATTATAATCATCTTTACAATCATCATCCAATTATCCGAGTAGCTCATCTCTAAGATTCACTGGACCAGACTTCTGCTGTAACACGTGATGTTCATCGAGCGGATTAGCCATCAAATTACTAGCGAACCTCTTTTGCTGTTGTAATCGTAGGTATCTACAATAGTACGCTAATCTCATGTCTAAGAAAAAACTGTTGTGTCACATTTCATGCCATCCAGCAGCAACCTTCACGATTAACATTGGGTTTTTCGCGTTTTTTTTTGCCGGGATTTATTGAGTGTTGCCCCATGAGCAAGGAAGAAACAGAATGAATTGGAGTTTATATTTCTACCCAAACTCTGCTCTATCTAAACTCACACAAGAAAAAAGATACAAATGACATCGAACCTTTGCTTATAGATCCCTCAATTTTATTCCTGAGAGCACTTCCTCATGCAAACTTACTTCTATACAAGGCAACCGCCATTGCAGCCTAATTATAGCTTAGACAATTCTGTAAGATGATATATTCTGTAAAATGATATATTTTCTACCAAAATGTCAGCTATCCACATTTTGCCACAAATTGCATAGTGCTATGGTTTTCGCCAATATTTGCAGAATTGCATTCGCATCTTCACGCTTTTGTCTTCCGCCAAATAAAGCGTGGATGCAAATGTGCCAATAGAAGTGTGCTATTTAATTAGAATGTGATCGATAAAGCAAGACTTTGTTGACTTTAGTCTACCTATAATGTTGATCTTGTGAAGCATTTATACATTTGGTCATCGAGTATCCGTGTGCGTTTTTGTTTTGTAGATTGTTCCAGCTTCTATCTGAGCATACGTTATCCATCATATGCTTACACCTTTTCATAATTTTATTAGTAAAATCGCTGATTTTATAACTTCCATAATTTTCGTTTACGTATCCGACACGTTATTTTTTGATATATTATCTTCTTTGGTATTAGCATTTTCCAGAACCATGGACTGGTTAGAAGCAGCATTAGACGAGTACAGTCGCTCGATTCATCCACCGCTTGTGTTGATACTCTGCATTTCGGGATCTCTTGGTCATCTTCTTTCTATCGCCACCCTGTCTTCGATGATGAATCCAACAAATGCATTCCTCATCAGTATGTCATGGTAAGTAAGCATTTCGAAAAATTCATTTCCTTGTCCGCATCATTACTACTAAGGTTTTAATTTCATTCTCGGTAGCAATCGGCCTCTCCACGTTTATGAGAACACTCTTTGTTCTTAGCTCTTTAATTGTAGTGATCGTGGGAATAATGTCTTGCAATGGGACACTCAGCGACACTTGAGACTCCTTTCTAGGAACCATTGAGAACTATCATGTTACTACAATGCATTTGCTTAGAGATGCTCCAATATCTTACGGAGCTTATGCAAATCGCTGCAGGCAAAATATAGTTTATTCATTCCGAAAAACGTACCCATATTTGCTGTTAATTTTCCTTTCCCAAGATTTTAAATTAATAGTGAAGGGATCGGAGGAAGGGGGAAGGGAGAAGGCTACTGCAGCACTAGAATCTTGTGGTGCAACTACAAAATATGGGTCCACAACTACAAATGTAGCGGATGCAACCATACTCCCGTTGCTGCAACTAGAAAATACCGTATGCAACAGATATTATTGTAGTAGATGCAACTATAATTATTTTGCAGCGCCTTGTTGCCCCTATTTATGTTGCAGCAACAGCAATAAGTGTTGTATGAATAACAACAATAATGCAATAGCTTTGCAACTTGATTCTGCTAAGACTCAAAAAACATTATGTAGGATGCAACTGCAAATATGCTCCACTCGGAAATGCAACTTTAGTGCAACAGCATTCTGTTGAAGGCAGTGTGCACCCAAAATTTCGCCTTCGATGTTTTTGTCGTTCTAGGCTTTTCCGTGCCCCTGATTACAGTTATAACATTGAAATCCTCCAAAAGTCCCAAAAGACCCCGATTCTCGGGGACCCTCTCAGAGAGAGGATGAGTTTCGAATTGCTCGACCCCGTCGGCATGCCAGTGAGGAGCACCTGCAACTGCATGACAGCCTGCAGTTCCAACTGAAACTGCAGCGTATGCTGTCGTGGATTCGTCGTCCGAAGGAGGTAGAGTGAAAGAAAAGGGGCGGGATGAAATAAAAATCAGGCAAATTTTTTCCGCTCAGAAGCAACATTGGGAGACCAAACCAACGCAGTTGGTCTTCTTCTGAGCCCTAGATATATACCGTGTAAATAATTGGGTAACTTAGATTTTGAATGTACGCTGCCTTTAAGCGCGGTCGAAAACGTTAATTTTTTATCATAATGCTTGCGACTCTTATTGTAATCACAAACATATGCGATAACAAGTAATTTCCTGATGATGGGCAGCTTGAGGGGAGCCTACTGTATGACATCAGCACCCAAAGCCTGAAGCAGAAATAATAGGGTTTAAACTGAATTACAGAGCTCTGCATTTTTTTTGCAAGCTTCTCTCAAAATTAGTCTTCTCTTTGCAAACTTCTTTCGTGGAAACACTCACGTAGTTTAGAATTTGCAGCTGCACAAAACTCTTCCGTTGTTGAAAGTTTGCTGATTTGCGGGGTAGTTAGACCGCATGCTAAGAACGTCAGAAATTGCATTACCCAACTTTTCTACTGCATTACAGCTGATTATATTTGGGAAAATTCTGTTTTTTCTACTGCAGCATTTGCCTCTCCTAAAGCATTTCGTAAAATGGTAGTCAGAAGAGGATGTCCCACAAAGCCGCCAATAATTTGATGTTGAAAAACAGTAGCTCAACTGTTTGCTTTTTTTCCAAACGTTATTCTCTCATGAAGATGTTCGAAGGAAGGTCATTACTTATCTAGGAAGGGTATATAAACTCATAGTACTAGTTGGTTCAGATTTTGCTGCAATTTTGTTTATTTGTGGTTTTGGCGGCTCTTGTAGAAGTAACGACGCTCAAGTAATCTTTTCTCTCGTTTCTCTACAATCTGCACTTACTTATTTGTCAGAACTGACCATCACGGAGCTCATGACTACCCCTTCCCAAGAACAATGTTGGGCAAAATGAAGATAAGAAGAAGCTAGGACTTTTTAAAGAACTTTCGTTAATACAACCTAATATATCTCCTGAGTAGGTCGGCGAATTACAAGATCGGCTCAAGGTCCTCAGACTGTTGTTACGTCTGACTCTGAACGGTTCCCTTGAGACTACTAAATACGCATGAGTTCCGGCAAAGAAAGCGCTGACGACGACCACATAAATATGAAGTGCTTCAGAAGCGTAGGACATTGATCGAAAATCAAAGTATTGAAAGTTTTATGTGTATGAGATCTCAGTAGAAAATTATCTGTTTGGATGTATTGGTTATCACCTGCTGAATAACAAAAAATTGCTATGTCATGTCAGATTTCAGTTGATAGAGTAAACTCAGTGGCGATTCTCCCCAATAAATCCATCAAGGATTTGAAGTCAAAATTTTTCAGCTCACAACTCGCCTTATGTGCCAATTTTCTCTACTCGACGTTCTTCAAATGGGCATCGGACGAACTGTGCTCACCATTTTTCTTCTCTTATTATATGGCGAAGACTATGCATATCTCGGTAACACTCTCAGTCCTCGTCCATATGGCCGGAGTAAGTCTTCGAAAAGTAGCCCAAAGCATAAGAAAGGATCAAAAATTCAGTAAAAATTATTTTAGGTTTTCCACGTTGTTGCACTTTCAATAATTCGATATTATTCTCTGGCTAAGCTAGCAGCTGTTAATTCTTCACAACCATGGTTCACTTATAAGGTAAGAAAACATGCTGTTAATAGTATTACGAAAGTTATTTGAATGAGTTTGCAGCTAGCGTATTAAAGCTTTTTGCTGTCTTCATTTCCTTTCTTTTTCAGAAATGTCGCGTGTCTTTGACGATAATTTACGTAAGCGTAGCGATCATATGTATTCCTTTGCACTTCACATCGGAAGTAGTGATGGTAAGTGACATTTTCTTTCTTCTTCAATTTTTTTCAATTTTTTGCTATCCAGGTGCAAGAAAACGAGGGTTGCGCAGCACGATATCCACATCTCCGGAACGCAACAAGTTATCAGCTTCAATTTTCTTCTTTTCCTTACCTTCATACCTTTAACTTTTGGCTTTTCAATTTATGCTCCAAAATCATACCATCGGTAGGTATCCGTAAGCCTTTTGCTAGCCTACATATCTTAAAAATGATATTTACAGATTACGCTGTGCCTCATGACATTGCTGATTTTGGATCAATTGAAACGTATCCGCCTGTTAAGTGCACGATTTACCAGTGTCGAAAGAGACAAACAATATCAAAGGACTACGAATATGATTTTGGTGAGTATCATTATTTGCTGAGATTCTTTTTGTTTTTGCTGCTGAAACAAAAACTAGGCTCTCAGTCACTCAAATACACAATGTGGCAAAGAATCTGGGAAGAAAAGCCAAATAGAAGCCTAAACAAATCCTCAGGCAATGCATTCACGAACACTAACAAAACGTCAAAGGATTCTCACACGAAAAGCTTTCAACAGCAAACAAGGTTGCCGGAGGGGGACAATATTTTTGGAGTAAAGGATGAAGAACACGTGCTAGCAGATCAAACAAAGAGTAAACATAGGCGGAATTCCTTTTTAGCTACAGCTTAGGAATACAGAAAGCTTCAATGCTTTTGTTCACTGATCCTTGATCCTTGTAGAAGCCTCTTGATTATTTTAAGCCCTTGATTTATTAGCCGTCTTAGAGGATTAAACACTAATTATCAAAGAAGTACTGTCTCAGCGTACTTTCAAACTTGAAAAATAGATTTTTGAAGAACAACCTAAGGGGGCTCGAAATTTTTTGAGGTGATTCGAGGAAAATTAAGTGAACCGATGACGTTGTATCTGTAACACGAAATTTTACTCATAAAGTACTAATACCTTCATTCTGAGTCTCGTTACATTGGTACTTTATCTGATACACTTCTTTTTTCGATTCTGATGCTTATGTTACTCATTTTTCGCACTTAAGACTAAACTGCACTTAAGCATTAAGCAACAACTTTTTTGTGCTACAATATAGAAAATGTAGTTCATAAAACTTTCATCTGCAAATCTTTTCTTGAGCAAAACTTCCGTGTTCTATATTTCGTGGCAAAGAAGCATCAAAGCATTTTCAAGGATTTCAAATGGAGCTTCAGTTTTTCATTTTTTCAGTTTTATGTGAAGGAGCACAATATGAGTTACAAAGTTTACGAGTAGTCTATAAAGCTCAAGTCATAAAATATAGCTATGAATATAATTTTAAAAAAGTTAAAGCATATTATTGGTGGAATGTCTAAGTCTAGAATCAAGTGATTTTTCTGTTTCAGATCATCATGTTCATATTTATCATCGTCGAATTTCCACAAGGTATACTTGCGGTTCTATCAACGGTGACGGAATTACAGCTCTTAGTGGCATTAGGTATGATATCTCGATTTGTAGGTTACCAGTCGTGAAAAAATTTGCACTGTTTATTACAACTTTTTTGAATTTTATGGCCATTCCACTCGTTATCTTAGTCAGGGATCCGCAGAGAGTACTCACATTTTCATTCAGGCGACATTACCGAGATGATTACCTTGCTAACATCATGTATTATATTTGCCTTATTCTGCTTGATGAATGGAGCAATACGATCAGCGTTAATGGAATCGCCATGTCTCCGATGGCTGGGACATTATACCCAAAGTACCCTTGAGAAAGGGTAAGATAACAATATTTCCTCCTTAACAACAAATACCTCATTGCTGATTTTAGGATTAGACGAGGAAGGGCAAGTGACAAATTACTTGACTATTCGCTCACCAACAAAACTACTATTGACACTTCCAAGAATTATGCTGTTCTGTAAAAAAATTAGTTGATTTTCTAAACCTAATAGAAAGTATGTACGGGTCTGTTACGTTTACTTAATTTGATCAATTGTCTTATTCGGATGCTCATGCCGATTACGTGTACTTTTTACGATTATATATAAAGATGATTCTAAGAGTTGTTTCTTGTCGCATTTGTGTATGGGGCAATTATATTATTCTTTTTTAAATGGCAAAACATGGTGTGTGTGCATAATATAAACAATTATTTTGTCTGATACAAGGAACTATAATGTGTGGATGTAGATTGTATCCAGTTAAACGCGCTCAAATCTTAGAATCTATATCAAGCAAATTTTTATGCTCGTCTACCGTCTGAAATTTGACTGAGCGAGCTTGAGACAACGTTATGATTTTTCTCTAAGACAAATTTTGGATTCTCAAACTTCGTACCCTACTCTGGCCGTTTTTCGCAGGTCCCGCTCTATACCTTGAAATAAGCTAATTTTATCTTTGCGACTAGCCTGCCCTGCTGGAAAAAGTTGAATTTACACGTACGAGCTCCACAGAGCACATATTGGAAAATAGGATTAACCAATTAACCTCATTAAATGACACAAACATTTAATATGCTGAGTCAGACCCTATCATTACTTGTAGTTGTAACTAGGCACATCACGTGCGAAGTACTAGTCTAAAAAAAAGTTCTCGAATGATTCCGAAAAATTGTTGCCTCTATTCTGAGCTGGAGCCCTTTTCCCAAGGCCAGACCAAACTTCGTTTAGCGGAGCTCCAACATAAAGGAGACGAGCAGGTTTCAAAGTCAAATGAATATAATATAAGAGCCAATAAGTCACACCATCGCACAAACGGAAAGGCCTGATCTATCTGAACAACAGCTCATGCACTATTCAGTAAGATAAATTATTCAGAGTGTTTTGTCTGCTGCAGAATTTGTCGCTACGAAGACCGATATTACTCTGATAAAACACATTTCATCAGTCTTACATTCATTCTCTGACATGCAGACGAGAGCTGAACAATATGTGTGTTCTTGAAACCAAATACGGTAGATAGTAGAGCGCATTTTGGTTATTTGAGCTTGGTCGATGATTCAAAACTCAGCAACAGTACCCTGCCGTGCTTCAACTTTGATAATTTGAGATAAACGAATGATTAAGTAGAATGAATTTAGCCTAGTTAGTAAAGAATAAAGCGCTTGTTTGCTATATTTTAGCGTTAGTAGTGATGATTCATAACAGCAGACGCCGACCTGCTTTTATTTTGATAATTTGCAGTGACTGATTGAATAAGTGGACTGTTACCTTAGATCCCAGAAATGGGGGGCGCCCATTATTTGTGGGTGTCAATCAAAAATTGAGGAGATGCGGCGTTACACTATCCCCGGACGAGAGGCAGCAGGGCCAGAGGAAATGTCCTAAAGGATTGTAGTGTACAAAATGTACATATTTTCTAATACATATTAACATATTTCCATTCACTATCTTTCATTTTTACAAGATTTGGGATCAAACTTGCATTCAACAGTAGAAATTGGTATGATAGTGTGAAAACCTCTGCAAAAGATGGAAAAGTCGGCTACCCGAGCTCTCCTTGCTGACAACTGCCAACCTGTAGAGCGCGGCGCCTGCTCAATTGACAGTCACAAGTATTGAGATATAGTCCTCAAATACTCATACCACAGAGGTCTAACGAAAAAGGAGTAATGTCGTCCGAGAGAATATACCAACACTCTCTGGACTCGTAAATTTGCTTGCATAGTTTGTGAAGCATTCCTTCAGATAGTTTGCGCATTGAATCGTCCAGCTTAGGAAGCACAATGAAGAAGTCAAAGTTTGGTGTCCAGAGCAACAAAAAATTTCAAGTCGATTTTTTACGAAATTGAAGCATGCTATTACTATTGCAACATTTGCCTTGAACATCTTGAAATGCAAGGAAGAAAGGTAAACAGAAGCTTCTATGCGTGGGACAACAGCAAAACGTCAACGCTTCGATGATGAAAATCCAAGAACGAGTGAAAGAAGCCCGAAAGCGCTGCAATGCTTTGAATCTGACTGTGATTAGCAACGGCCGAAGATGGGCTCTTTCTGTAGAGGGGTTCAACACATGCTTACGTCAGACAATGACTATTTGTTAAGGTGTTGCAATATAATATCCGTTTTTCTAGGCCTATTTGCCGAACAACTTATTCCTTCAAAATTTCTAATTCGATATAGATTTTGGATATTATCGGAAAGCTCTGTTTATGTACTTTTAGAAGTGATGAAATTGCTTCTACTCATCTATGAGGATTTTCTCAACATTCTGCACATCCGCACTCAAAATCGGAATTTCATTGCTCTAACTTTCTTGGACACGATTCAGGCGCAAATGAACGAATTTTTATGAGAACATAGCTAATGCATGGAATATTATTTATTATTACGTATAAATATTAGGTTGTCCCGATAGTTCTGTCGTTTCATTTGAAAATTCATAAGTTTGCGTTGCCTCAACGGATTTACTTCATTTTATTTTTATTCGAAAGAGTAAATCTTTCGCTTTCGAATGCGGTTTGATGAGCTTCTGCGCACTGCTACGCACTAACCGCAGAGATAAAAATGGAAACAGAAGGCCATTAAAACTTTGCTCATTTTAACTTAGGTCTTCAAAAATCTGGAAAGCTGCAGAAAAATCTGAAATCGTATACACATAAGCTTTTTGACCTACTTCTTCCAACTGTGAAAGATTTGTCTTTTTGGACATCTCTTTAAAAGGTTATGATTTTCGAGAAATGTGTCAAATTAATTATTTTTGGCGTTTTCTGTAATAAACTGGTGATTTGTAGCTTCTCACAGAAACGTCCAAGTGAGACAAATCTTTCACAGTTGGAAGGAGTAGGTCAAAAAGCTTATGTGTTGACGATTTCACATTTTTAGCAGCTTTCCAGATTTTTGACGACCTAAGTTAAAATAAACGAAGTTTATATGGCCTTCTGTTTCCATTTTTATCTCTGCAGTCAGTGCGTAGCAGAAGCTCGTCAAAACAGCATTCAAAAAACGAGATATTTTCCCTTTCGAATAAAAATAAAATGAAGTAAATCCGTTGAGGCAACGCAAAGGTATGATTTTTCAAAAATGAAACGACAGAACTTTCGGTACAAGCTAACTTTTTCAAAAATGAAACGACAGAACTTTCGGTACAAGCTAACTTTTTCAAAAATGAAACGACAGAACTTTCGGTACAAGCTAACAAAAGTTTCAAATATATTAGACGAAGAAATCGATGCCCCAAACTAGATATTATACTTGTGCATGGCACTCGAAAAGTTGAAATTTTTCCTGATTAAGGCAAGCGCCAAACCTTCGCTCATTTCTGTGTGCTTGAGACCAGGACATCCTGCACACAATTTTTGCAGAAACGTTTAGCTATCCAGTGCATGAAGAATTCCAAATTTTCATAGTTTGGGGTCTTCTGGCCTATCACAAATAGTGAAAAAAGTGAATAAATTTGGATTTCTATCTTTTATTTTCGCAGGTCCCTTCGTCGAAGTTTTTCTATAGAATATATGCGATTGGCTTGCGTCTACATGATAAATCTATTAGCAGCCATAAGAATAAAACTTGAAGGAAGTCATAATTTTTCAAAAACGAAGTTTTCAAAAGAAAAATTCGGTTTTTTAATACATGGTTGCCTTCCCGTATGCGATATCGGTATAGGTAGGCGCGCGTTAGGTTACAAAAGGTTTACTGCTTCTGATGGTCTTGATTGCATTCAAAAATATGGAAATAGGACAAAGTTATAGCCTTTCAGAGAAAAACTCTGCAGAACGGACATTATTTTGCAAAAACCAAAACTTATTCGTTTTATTACATATGCATGTATTCTCAACAACAAACAAGAAGCATTGTTGGAAAAAATGACAGAGCAAAACAACAAACGCACAACTTCCAGGTGAAAGTAAACGTTCTGTTTACTGCTTCTGATGGTCTTGATTGCATTGAGTTTTGCAGGGCTGCCCTAAGTTGAAAAGTTTATAAGGAAACATTTCCTTTCTTATCAGCTTATCAGAATAGCTGCTAACGCTGTTTACCAAGAATCTTCTTCTCACATGCCCTCGCTTCGACAACTATTTTCCTTGACCCTCTCTCTTCATGAACTCCTAGTTTCAAAAACTAAAGTGCATTAACTTTGATACTCAACGATTAGTATTTTATGAATCGTACTGAAGCCGAACATCTTTTTCTCATGTTCGTTAGATTTACAAAAAGTGAGAGCGTGCATTCACCTCGGAGATGCCACACTTGTGAAAAGAAGCTTAATGGAGGCAAACGGAGACCTGAAAACGCAAACGGATCCGAACCTTCACCTGCACCATCTTGTGAGACTATCACACTAACCACTCCACCACAGCGCACTTGCGGTAGTGGTTCCGATCGTTCATTCCGTGGGCGGCCAAACTCGGTGCGAAAATTTTCTCGTAGCTTCTTTCATAAAAGCAATTAGCAGAAAAGAAAGAGAGATTTGGAATCAGCGTTCCAAGACGAGTTTAATGGTATACATCCCATCTCGAAAGGTTACGGTCACCGAATATCCTTCCCTTGTTAGAGTTCAACTACCCGAAACCCTGGATGATCATTACTGTTCTATGCAAAAGTACATGTATTAATAATTGAGAGTGATTAAGGATGAATTAGTACGTCCAATATATATGTCCACATAAACTAGACAGCATTCGTCTCAAGAGATTTACTTTAGTTTATAGTAAGCTGCTTTGAAACCGGTTTTGCATTGCTACCTCACTGAAATAAACCTTAAATTTTGACATTAATCTCGCAGATATTAGGCCAACCATAATGACCCGAAAGCTTTTTCTTCGCACAGGCTCACCAATGATAAATGGCTTACGTTTCCAGATTGTGATGAAAAACTGTGTCAACGATGAGGTTACTATGAAAATCCGAACAGCACATCCGTGTCTTCTGCTTTTTCTGCGAGCAGTCGTCAATGAAAGTGAGTCGAAACGATGTCTCCGCCGCAGTCATACAATTTCTAACAATTCACCTGCTTACGATTATATAAACGCTATGAAGCAAGGTCAGGTCACAATTGAAAGCGTCAGTGATCTACTTCAAACCCAACTAAATATTCTATGGCCAATTCACTTCTAAAGAAGCATCACTGAGTCTAAAGCTCCTCCAATGTCAACAGTAACACAACAGAAGGAACTGAGTCGTCTTGGCTCCATTAGCCTTGGCTTGTCCCTGTTTGCGTTCACTTCTCTGCTAATTGGCGTTCCGGTGCTGTTTCTCATCATAAATGATGTGGACCTTTCCGTCAGCAGACAATTTCACGATACTACAGTAAGTCACTTCCTGAAAAGAATTACGGGAAGCAAATGGGTAAGGATTTTTTAGTTAATGGTGGACGGTATTTGGAAGGAAGTAATGGATATGGAGCAGGATCATAGCCTGTCTTGGTGGAGAAATGCCAGAAGTACAGCAACTGAGGTAAACTAATTTTACCTTGTGTGCACTTCGATGAGCTTATTTTTACAGGCGTCGGGCTACGAATTGAAGGGCTTCGAAAATGTCTGCCTGCGGTAACAGCATAAATAGAAACATTTTTTAGTTTTACAGGAAGCGAATGGAGACGCATTCGAGACGTTTTCATATGAATCAGTTGAATCGCCTGCAACAACGCCTGCAAATTCTCCACTGTCTCACTCAGGTCCACCATCTTACGCAGGTGGCGGTAGCTTTCCTGAACGGTATGGGTGGTCGCAACCGCCCCGTACATCCACGTCAAATTACCCAAAGCATCGTCCCCAGCAGTACAATGATTATGAAAGTGGAGGATATGAGGTTTAGGTGCTCATTGTGGTTTTTTGACTAGCTGCTGCACTTCCAGTATTCTTCTCCTCCTGCACCTACGACATCCCCTTATAAGCGCCCATTTACACCACCACAGTTTGGATATGGTTATACAAAGCTCAAATGTATGAAAGCCATGAATCTAGCGGATGACTTGTTAGAAAGTCTTTGACTTCTTTTTAGGCTGCTGTTCCCTTCCTAACTATGACAATCGCCAGCCGCTTCCGGTGTCCCACAAGTGCCCGGTGGGCAATAAGGGTCCCCTAGGACCGAAAGGGTAAGATCCAACAAGGTATCATGCCTCTAACCCACAGTTTTGATCTTCATATCACAGGCAATCCGGTGATCCGGGTACACCGGGCATACCCGGTCATGATGGCGAACCTGCTTACGGCTATTCACTCCCTTCTCAATCTTATGCTACCTCAGATTTGGTCATCACCTCGGAGCATTGCCCTCCATGTCCACCGGGCCCTCCGGGGCATACTGGACCAAAAGGTCCTCCTGGTTATCCTGGTTATAAAGGCATACGCGGCACGCCGGGTGCGCCAGGACTTCCCGGGCGGCATGGGCCTTGTGGTCCTCAGGGTGAGATGGGAAAGAGAGGCAAATCAGGTCCACCAGGGCAGAAAGGAGTTAAAGGTAGTGATGGAATCCAAGGTAGTAAAGGAAGACCTGGTTCCGCGGGGCTGCCGGGAGCCATTGGAGGTAGGCAGGAGTAAACAAAAGCCGAGTCGAAGTAATTGATTACATTTTTTCAGCGCCTGGTCCAAGAGGAGTGGCTGGTTCACCAGGAGAATTCGGACCACCAGGAAAGGCAGGACCTCCAGGTCCCAGAGGAGCTGAAGTATGTGCTGGGTAAAAAATAATTGATAAAAAGGAGACTGTTAAGGGTCTGCCTGGCCTTGACGGAGTTGATGGTGTCTGTGGAAGGGAAGGGCCGCATGGAATGGATGGGCTTTATTGCCCCTGTCCGAATCGTATTCAGGGCTTGAATCGCCCTCCTTCTTCTTCTTCTGCTAGCGTAGATTATGGAGATATAACTGGTGGAGGTGGTTACTCCTCAAGCGGCTATTCGTCAGGCGGTCATTCCCCAGCTGATTATTCGCCTATAGGAATGCCAGTCTCTGTCGAGATTGAAGCCCGTCCGGTAAACTTCTTGGCAATTTTGTTAAGGTTGTGCCTGATTGGGAGTGTAATTAACACATTGACGACAAGGCCGATTTTTCGATTACTGCCATTTCGGATAGGAGCCTTTTTTGCTCTGCCAAACTTACGATCCACCCGTGGGTCGTATTGTCCGAAATGGTAGTCTTTTTGTAAGAAATTCAAAACATGTCTCTGAGAATATCCCCACAAGGGTTATCGAAGGCGCTGATTATCAAAATATGATTTGTTTCAGTTTTTGGCAGTATACGGTAAGGTTACGCTAATCACTTTGTACGAACCCAACATCAAGGATTTTCGTGAAAAATTGTGTTTTGGGGTTATTTCACATGCTGATCACGATTATAGTGTCTACTTTGTTCACTACCCACAGTGGGACTACGGTAGCAGTACGGTAGAGTTTTTTTTGAGAATCAAGAAACTAATGTAAGAAGGCGGTATTAGAACATGAGACTATCATTTTCGTAATCAGCATGCTAAAAAACCTATATATGCAAGGTTTGAGCTTCCTGGGATGAACAATGCGAAAAATCAATAAAATCAATAAAATCGATAATTTTTGATGGGCTGACATCAGTCTCATGCTCTCCCTGTATTTCTTGTGCATGTAAACTTGAATTGTCAAAAACAGCACCACTCTGCGAGAAATTCGAGCTAAAATCTGTGCCTTAACCTCTATCTACGGTATACCTACCGTAACATTACATTACAGTATCCCGGACCCGGACCACTCCGGCTAGAGCTTCGCCAAGGTGTCCCCAATCATGTGCCAGAATACCTAGAATTCCATCGCATGCTGGCAAAATTAGAGCTTTCGAAAACTTACGACCCACCGGTGGGTCGTATTGTCGTCAATGTGTTAAATGACCACCTCTCAAGAGCAGCTGGTAACTCCAGATGTTACAATTGGTGCCTGAGTTTAGGTGATTTCAGCAAACTTCATCTTCTGTAGGGAATGATTATCGAGAAGTGGCTTCACAGAGGTTCGATTATGAGAGCCAGTCATCGCAATCAAGGTGAGTAATAGATCTTTTCACATGTCGTGGAAAACTTTCATTTACAGCAATAAGCAAAACGGCTGGACAAGCTACAGTGCCTCTAGCAGTGGATCATACAAAGAAAAACGACGCCATCCTAGAAGGAGATTGCATCAGCTGAAAAGTCAGAGCTGTCCAGAAGAAGACAAGTGACACTACATTCGTCGGATATTTATGAAATTTGCTTTGTTGTCACTACCAGACACTGTAGAACGGGGAATAAACACTTCTAGAGAAAATAATTTAGAAGTAATTTGAGAATTTTTTCAAGCAACACCACTATCATATGGGGCTACTTTATGCTACTGTATGAATCTTCTAAATTATGAGGTTCTATGAAGCCTAACAAGCTTTGTATATCCTCGCTACGTACTACTACGATAGCGTTCCGAATAAAATATCAGAAAAATTAAACCCCTCGTGCCAAATTTTGGAAAGTTGAGGTCAGTTACTGATATTTTAAGGGTGGGGGAACGAAAGCCGCCAGGTCCAGCCGCCTCCGCGGACTGCTGGTCCTGGAACGACATGCAACAACGCTGCGAAAGGACCAGCTGGCCGCGAAAGGCGGCTGGACCTGGCGGCTTTCGTTCCCCCACCCATATTTTAAAGTTATCACTTTACGACAGGAGTCAAACTGTGATCTACTAGAACTGGAGCCGAAGGTGGCCTAGGAGGTGGGACCAGAACGGGTATGATCCTGTTCTGTAGGCGATTATTTGCGCAGCAGCAGAAAATTGCAGTCCTGAAAAACTAAAAATTCAAATTAGGAAAAATTCAAAAAAGTGTATTACCTGTAAGCAGGCAGAAGAAGAAAGTGAGCCAAAAGGATACAGGAAGGAAGAAGCGCGGCCTCTATAGTGAAGACATAAGGTTCGGGACTTATTTTCCCAGCTGAAATTTTGACGGATATGATTTTTTGAGGATTTGGATAGTAACTAAGCAACTTACCAAAATCAATAAGAGCAGCGATAATTGAAGAAATCATAAGAGGAATAGCCCAGAACATTCTTGAAAGAGAGTTGTAAACTACGGGATCGCATGTATTTATAATGGCCCTCTTCTTACAGTAACAGGCTTCGGCAATACCCGTAGCGAGGATCTGGAAGAAAACTTTTTAGGATGTGTAGAATCGCACGAAAGTTCACCTTACCGCAAAGAGTAGAAGGACCACGAGCAATCCTGATCCTATGAGCAATATAAAAAATAAGAAAGTCGTAATAGGATAGTCGAAAATGTACAAATTCAGTGGAAATACATCCACAGTTGCTAATGCACAGATGAATAGTAGTACTGAGATGTAGAGGATGCTAAAAATCACAATCAACAAAATTAAGCAGCAATAAGATTGATTTAGGCTCGCACCTGATTACGGTAATATTTTGTGATGATCTCTTTACTCGAGAAATATGAACCACAAGGCATGTAAAAAATATTGTACCAGTCAGATAGGTAAAACAAATCGTTGTTTCGAGAATGGACTCAGCAGTATGGAGAGCTTCGACTCTGAATTGCGTTACTTTTCCAAACTGAACCATTGAGCTGACTAGCAAGTAATTGTTAGGCTCTGGGCAGAGTTCACGCGATTTCAAGCTTCGCAATTTTCCCACAAGACAACTGCTACGAGTCCATTGCATGCCGGTCAACTTTCATTTCGGTTTTGATAGTTCTCTGACACGACCAATCATAACTAGCGGTCATAACCGGAATGTAAGTTGATTGGCATGTAATGGACTCGTAACAGTTGTCGTGTGGAAGGATCGCAAGGAGAAATCGCGTGAACTCTGCTCTAAGCTTGAGGCTACGAAAAAACATTTTGTGCGAAAATGAAGTGGGAAACGATGCATTCCTCGTAGAACAAAAGCCAATTTGAGGGTATAGACGAACCATACGATTTTTTTTGACTAATGTACCACTTGGAGCCCATTATTCATAACCATCCTCTACGAAATTATAATTTAATATTATTGAAATCCGAAATTCCAAGATACTGTAGAATTATCAACTTACACCTTCATACTGGGAAAGTCTATAGCATGAATCACAGCTGTATGAAAGGCTGTCAGACCAGTTTTCACTGTCATTGGCAGCATTGTGATAGAAGTAAATATTATTGTGAATTCTCGACGCATAAGACATGTGCATAGCCAGAACAAAGCTAGAAGAAACGCTTCAACTGCTAAGGCTATATTGGCTGCTGGACGGCCTGAACTTTGTTGAAATAATGATATAATGAAATTGCTATTTCGAGCTCACCAACGAGGAAATAACGGTGATAGTAGAATAAATTATCTTCTTGACGACAATTATAAGAATAGGTTCCATTGACTAAGGTGTACTGACTCATTTAGTCGTACATTTTCGATAAATTTTTTTTCTAAAAAAAACGATTTGACCAAGAACGTAAGGGTCACGGGACTCGGATTTTTAGACCCAACTAAGCTCAAATTTGTACATCTAAACTCACCATTACCGTACCCAAATAAGTTTAGATTCTTACCTGTAGGTATTATATACGAAGTATTGCTTTGCACATATTGTCTCATGCAATAGTTGGCTTCGCAAAATAGCGCCGACGTTGCTGGGAAACGACGAAAGCACTTGAATGTGAATTCATTAGCTTTGACTTTTATTCGATTTTTTATGGATGTGCAAAAAAACCTTTGCTGTAAAAAAATATATTATTTTGAGAGACTCAAAGGTCAAAATCGTCCTCGATGCTTTTTCAAATAAGCCCTTGATAATGTGAAGAAGTGCTTTGAATCTGATCATTTAAATGGTGAAGGTAGCAAAGCAGCGAGTTGGAGCTTAAACAGTCTTGCGGTTTGGGAAATTGTGGGAAGAGTGAAGACTACAGTGAAGATTATTTGTTTTGGAAAGGTCATTTGCTAACAAAATCCTGTAAATTCAACGCATTGATCTGCTTTATACTTCCAAAGTTTTTGACGGAATCTGGTAGCCTGATCATTGCATCAAAGGATGTAATCGCGAATAATCCAACGAAATAAAGCTTTTTTGTCTAATTGTTCCTGAGCTGACATGTGGAGTAGGCACAAAAGCCATACTCCTACCTAGTATGCAGCCAAAAATTTTCTAAGAGCTGGCAGGGCAAGAAAAAATTTTGAATAGATGAGCGGACTTATGGTAGACACATTTTTACAATATTCTTGGGATTCATCTCAAGTTTCTCGCAGGCTTGTAAGATCGCATTCTACTCATTCTACGCAATCTCAATGAGGTTCCAAAACTCCTTCTTTTAGGTTGATGCATAATTCTTGCACCAAAATTTTTGAATTGTGTTACTTCCTCCAGCTTAAAGGAATCTTCTATTTTGATATATACGGAGAGAGGAAATCTTGCGCTTTTTGTAGGCGGATCAAAATTTTGAGGGCATATGGTAACGGTATAAGCGGATTATGAAAAATACCCAAAAGTGATTTTTCGATTTTTGCTCACTGAACTTGCTAGAACATCTACTAAAACTTGGATGTATTTTTGGTCTACGTTTTGGGACATACTCTTTTTGGCTAACGAGGGAAGGATACTTGATGAGCGTGGCCTTTTGCAATGAGATGTACAACAGTAGGTGCGTCTTGGAACGCTGATTCTAAATCTAAGTTCATTATCTGCTGTGCCACTCCCTGAACGAAGTTATAGAATTTTCTTCCATATTGATTTCGCGAGATTTACGCAGTCAAAATCGTCAGTATCCAGGCTTTCTAGACTCTGAAGTATAGGTGACAGTTTTCCTGAGATTAACGTGAAGCTTTACTTCATCTGTACGCTCTTTTGTAGTGCGTAAGCAAACAATCTGACGATATTGTTGATCCTGCATCAAAACACACCGCAAATTTCGATGAGACAAGAATGTTTATAACTTCTCTCGAAAGAGCGCACAGCAGATAATGAAAACAGATTTGGAATCAGCGCTTCAAGATATATTTCATAGTGTACGTTTCATTGTAGAAGACCAAGGTCATCCAGTATCCCTTCCTTGTAAGAAAAGTTGGTGTGATTGGATGCTTAAGCCAATAGTCAAGATGACGTCTTTTCTGAATTAACTTATAGCTTTTGTTTCATATTGATTTTCTAAAATGTACTATAAGATATCTTTTGATGTGCATAACAAAGAGCATATTTTCTGAATTTTTGAAATTTTTTAAGCATTTCTTAACATTTTTTATTATATTTTGGTGCAAAAATTGTGCATCAACCTAATAATAAATTGCAATGGATCTTATATTTGCACAGTATTTGTGTTTTTGTAAGCATTGTGCTCTACTCCCTTTCGAACTCCAAGCTATGCTTTCCGCTTGTTCATCGTCTATGACTCATGTCAGAGCTATATAAGGAGGGCATAGAGAGTGCGAAATCACTGAAGATCCGTTGATTCACCCAAGCCATGAATTTTCATGTGGAAATTATAGAGACAATCTACTCTGTGTGCTTCAAAATAAAAGCAAACGAGGTGAGCATCAAAAATTTAGAGTTGAGCAATACTGTATCAGAGCTGAAAATTACAAATATTGAGTGATTTTTTTTCTGCTTTCCGCAACATTGCGATTACGTTACATTCTAAGGAACAACGAATGCTGATTAGTTCCTAGTGTAATTCCAAGTTGATAGCATTTATTCTCTGCAAAAAATTGCTGCGCATTTTGTACTACCTGTACTAATAGATCGAAGTACTGCCACATACTTTAAGATTGAACTACACAGATTCATGGTCCCTTGGCTCCTAAGGACACAATCACACGTGTCATAGTCCAAATAAAGGTTACATAGATTTTAAGTACTTCAGTGCGCGAGGACAAGGCAAACCCGATCGCCATCGATTTCCTAGCGAAACGTGGACAAAAGTTCGATAGTGACTAAACTCGTTCCTATGCTTGCGGTTGCGACATCGCTATTAATTGCGCATGCTACGCACTTTGGCTTATTTGCTAGTGATACTTCGAATTTCGGAACAATGTGCAGCAAGGAAGGTTGGTAATGTTGTTTACCATGTGAACCCATGATTTTCATGATCATTCATTATTTTCTTCATGCCTTCCCCTTAAGTTTAAGGTTGTCCTATAGATTTTTCTTTCGAAAAAACTCGAAGAACAAATTCTGAATAATGCTTTTCAAATTTACATAAATGACGAATCTCGTGGACATCTTTTCACGAGAAATCAAAAAATCAGAAAATGCACAAAACCTTTTTTGAACTTCGAAGTAGTCCATAAAAGGACCACGGCTAGTATCACATTTTTCATTGATATCTGTTCTGCCTTTTCATTTACTTCTCGCATTTATTATAAGACAGTCAGATCTTAAGAACTATACTAACAATAATTCTTGCATAGGCGCTCTCAAAAAGCGCGTGAATCCCTTTTCATGAAGTATAGCGATTTGCTGGAAAAAAGAGAAAATTATGAATCTACAGAATGTGATGATAGACTTATGGGACTAACTAATATTTTTTGAAAGAAATCATCATGCTTTTTCAAGTCCCCCAACTTTTCGACATGAAAATCTTTTCCTTTTCCTTCTCGCATCGTGCATGACTCTTTGTGTCCGTAATCTTCACCATTCGGCCCTTTATTTGTCTTCTTCAAAAATCTGTTTTTTGTATGCTCAATACTTATTGAAGCCAAATTCAGGAGAATGTCCCGCACCAGACAAATATACCCCAAGGGGATCTTCCTCCTCGTAGCCGTAAGCAGGCTCCTCCAGGCTCGGCTCTTTGTCGTTCCTGTGAAGATTTTTTGACAGAACTGAGGATAGGAGCACCAAAAAAGTTGGACCTAGTCATGGACAGGACAAGAGCAGCTGGTAATTCTTAAAATAAAATAAATAAATAAAAATAAAAAAAAAATTTAAAAATAAATAATTCTCAATTCTACTTTTTACTTTCTTAGAACTATGTTTTACAGCTCGTGAATTTCTGCCATTCTACAGTCATGTGGATGGAGTTATTGTCGATTTTCTATCTGGTTGTGTCCAAAGCAGCGCCAGATGGATTTTCAAACTCATAAATCCGAGGAGAGAATGTACGAGGCTCATGCTATGTTAGTCTACGGTACGCTCAGTTCTCGGACATTCTATCTATCTAACTTGATAGATGCCATAGAAAGTGTGGCATTCATTGTTTTTCTCGTTGAATTTTCATCGTATGTTGTAAATGGCTCTAAAATCGAAAACACTACTATCATCCAGTTACTCTTCTGTATTCATGTGTCTAGGTAATTTAAGTGCTCCAAAAAGCCTTGCATTGTTCTTGTGATCATGAAGACGCTTTTCAATCTGCTTTAGTTCTCAAGATAAGGTTTTAGAATTGGCAATGTTAGAGAGAGAAAAGCCTGCTGAATCAGTCTGGGTACCTTTCCGTTATCCGGATCCAGTTTTTCTGAATGTTTTTATTAAATACGTGCTTCATGTTAAACATTCTTTTCATAGATCATGTGACTGTCATCACTTGACATCACTCTCCTTGCATATGTTTAGATAAAAATTAACTCGTTTGTGGCCAGTTTGACACGTTTTTTCAAAATCATTTCCAGTGAGGTACGAGAGCCTTTGAACTGACTCGAAAGCTATTCAGGGTCTTTTATAGAGGCAAAACGGTTTTGAACTTTCTAAAACATCGGTAGCCTTCAGTAATTTCTGGAGAAATCCTATTCTATACATTGTTTGTGCCATGCGAATTTAGCCGGGAAAGAATATAAATGATGGCTTAGATACCTGGCTGCCAATTGTATCGTTTAGATGTTAGAAAACAACTCACTTTTCTGTTCCGGGAAAACGTAGTGTGTTTATTAAACGCAGGATGTCATTCTCATAATATTAAAGCTCATTCAATTGTTGATCAAATATGAGATCATTATGAAATAAAAAACAGATTGAACTTGCATTGATAGGTAGGCTAAAAAAACTCTTCTTGAAACCTGTTTAACAGAGACATGTAGAGACATGTGAATTTTGACAAGTGGCAGGAGGTTGACTCTCCATCCCGTGAAGTTATCACCAAATTTGGTGCAAGGAAAGAAGCAATATTCTTTTTGAAAAAGTGGATCCGAATAAGAGTACCTCAGTTTGCAAGAAGCTGCTATGGAGGGGCTAATTCTAAGTATGCTGTACATAAAATTTTCATAATCGGAAGTTTGGCTGTTTACAAATCTCTTGCGCATTACAGTAAACGTAATGTGGTTGTTCGTTTGATTTAGGGAATTTTCCTCGTCGATAGCAGAAAACCTAGTGAACCTAGAACTTAGGGGGTTTTTTTCTCCGAAAAATGTCGTTTTGTCGTGCAAATCAGAAATCGGAAAGAAAAAGGTTCTGAGGCTTGGGCAGGGTGCGACACGAGAAGGCTTTAGCAATTTTCGAGTCGCCCTTGACTTCGCAACAATATTACGACATGTCTAGCTGACTCATAGAGAAATTCAAATAATAAACAGAAGCATTAAAAAACACCTCAAATCTCGAAAAGATACAAAAATATTTCTATGCTTCGGTTTGGCAGCATGCTATCCAGCGGCTATCACCGCCCTTGAAGCAGCATGTCATTTCAAAGAATTGGGGACCTGTAATAAGCTCCCCAAACTTTTGAGGTGGGGGTTTGACTCGGTTTAAGAACTAGTTTATATAATTTAGGATGCTGATCAATGATAAGTGAAAAGTGTGGTAATATATTGTGTGTTGTTTGTGAGCCTTGTTACAATACTTTATCGGCTAACGTTTCGGCAGATCGCCTTCTTCAGAGCCTGAGATGGGTAATACGATCTGCAATCCATTCGACAACGTCTCTGCAGCAATGTGAGCAAAGTGTCAAGATTCCTGTTAGACCACTAGCTCAGCTGGTATTCTATAGCCAAACACACCTTTTGGGTTACGCCGACGAGATTTGATGCGAGAGCAAGATGAATGACTGACCGCATAAGGGGACCACTATTTATAGCAGAAAACTAGTTCAGAAGAGCTGACCGAGGTAGGGCGCGAGTTCACGCGTGACCGTTAGGCATTCCTCTTTGCGATTCATTTTTGGGCTTTTCGCGTGAATCCAAAAAGCTTCCAAACATTTGCGAGCTGATGTTTGGGATTCGTGTGCCAGGATTTTCACCGAAACTCCGAAATTTGTACCTGCATGTTTCTAAATTCGGTGAGTGCCCAGAAGAGTGGATGTGCGCGATTTATCCCTGCCATCCAAGTGTTCCTTGATGCGAACACACAGCGGGCGCGCCGTCTCAGCTATGTGTTCCTCGCCGCAGTCGTCGCAGGAGATCATGTAGATGTCCCCGCCTCTGCCCTGAAGGCATATAATGCAATTTGGCGTGATGCAGGAGCGATGTAAAGACGATTGCGAATCAACAAGCTCTTCAAATTGCTCGGAGGTAATTCTACAATCGTAACTGAATTTTGTAGCCTTGCTCTCCTCAGACACCGTCGCGATGCGGTGCTTACTTCATCGGAGATAAAGGGTATGCAAAAGGCTACTTTATCAACTGTAGACTGTTGGCTTACTACAGAATGCTGCTCTTTCCTACTTCTAGGTGCCCTTGCGTAATTTTCGTAACCTTTGGAAGAGGCTATGCTGCGGACAAATGCCAATGATTCCACCCTTTCCCGTTGTCCACTGCAAACCTGAGATGCTGTACGGAACATGTTTTCAATTACAGCTCTTTTTGTTTGGAGTGGAGGCGTTGATTGATAGTGGATAAGAATATTTTTAGTGCTGGGCTTGCGGTACCAAGTTGCGGGCATACCCGAAGAGATGTTGATTTGCACATTTAAAAACGGTAACCATTCGCTGCTGGACTTCTCCCTAGTAACCTGTATGTACCGCGATTGCTCGTTGAGTAGTTGGAAGCATTTGTCAACATCTGCCTGAGTGGCGTAGATGATAAAAAAATCGTCTATATACCTGCAGTAGAGCAAGGGACGGCACTCTAATTGGCGCTTCAATTTTTGCCAGGAATGCTACTGCGGGTGCGGGGGCTAACCTTTGTCCCATGGCCAGACCTCTGATCTGCGCGAAATAGCTCCCAGACCACCTAAAAATGTTGCAACTGTGGTAATAAGTGGTAAGTATGTTAATAATGTAAAGAGAGGGTAACACACAACTTTGTTGTGTAGCCACCTCACGTGGTTCTCCAGGTGGCTAACCTAATTAAATTCGGAAAAAGTTCACACCCTTTCGGGAGAGTTGGTAGAGTTGTGGATATGTATATGTGTATGGCTTATGTGACCATAGTGATGGAGGGACGCAAATATTCATTGGGTTGATGGACGGTCAACTCCTCGAATTTTTGCTCGGTAATCCCATGCAAAAATTTAGTTCTTAATAAATTGCCTTGCTGGTAAGAAGATTTTTGTCCCAAAGCAGTGGACAATTTGTTTCCATGTAAATCATGCTGAGCTGATACACTTTTTCGGGCCCCGCACGGCCCCAAACGATATCCCTTTTGCTTTTCAGACCGAGAACGATATTCAACCTGTCCCACAAGCCACCTGTATCGAGCCTGCCCCTAGCCAATAGACTTTAGCCTCTTATGCATGAAATTGCATTAAGCCGCGCTATTGAGACCGCCGAACGCAACAACTTCGCAGGGACTTAGGTTCGTGGTTTTGCAACTTTAACTCGACGTTAAGTGAGTAAAGTTCACAACAAAAATAAACTACACGTATTTCCTAGGACAATTCCACCATACCACGGCACAGTTTGGATTCGACAGTGGGAGTGTAATTCAGTGAGCCATACTGTTGGTGTATACTATGATGCGTGAAGGTTTAGCTGAACAGAATCACACTGCATGATCACCAGGGAGAATTTTCGGATACTTCAGGACCAGCAGGACTAAAATAAGTGCTGATAAACTAAAGAATTTCAATCACGAATATTCAATGGTCTTTCCTTAGAAAAAATACTGTCTTATATTTGTTTAGAAGTATGCTAGGAAGCACTCCAGTATAGTTTTCGTGGCTCATTTTTCCTGTTATATTTTAATTCTTGCTAATCAATAAACACCAAAAAATCTACAAAGATTTTGTTTGGGATCTTTTTACTTTCCTCACATGCAGTTTTAGCTACGGATGAGTATACGATACAATCTACTATGTTACCCTCTTTCGGTTGTGGAATACTGTTGATTGATAAGCTTTGGCGTGCAGTCTTTGAGGCATATCTCACGCGATTCCAGGTGCTGCGCGATCTGCAGTGCAAGATCTTTTTATAATTTATATCGGTAAGCGCGCTTTGCCTGAACAATCCTAATGTTTTGCAACTATAGGAATGTATCAAATGACGCAGCACTTCAAGCTACCTACGAGTTGCTCTCTGAAAATCAGTCTCGCTCCAATTGTATAGGTAAGCATCCACGGTATAATGACCCTTCTTTACGAATGCTTACAATGTACAGAATCTCGATGGTGATGGCATTATTACAAACAGGTTAGGGGCTTAGTTGTGGGACAGCGACTCGCACCTACCTTAGCCATTATCTTCATGTCCAAGGTAGAAACGCCAGTGCTTGAGCGTAAACCTCTGCTGCTCTACGGCCGGTACATCGAGGACTGTTGCGTCATATGCCCCACGCAAACCGAAATGGACATTTTGCTTCAATATTTCAATCAACAGTCGCCTAACATCGCATTTACCGGGGAAAAGCTTACTGAAGAGGGCTAGCGTTTTTAAATGCAGATTCGTATTGAGGGTGGGGAATATAATACTTTATGATACCTCGGTAGTTAAACTTTTTTAATTCATGCTCTGTCCGCACATCCAAGCATGAGAAGGTCTATTGTGGCTAACATGCGTAAAGCAGCTCTTCGCGTGTTCTCCGGCGGCGACGATGTACCATGTTCCATCGCCTTGAATCGGGGAATTGCGGCGTCTGGCGGCTATGCTGGGCGCGAGCGCACCTTCAGCCCGCGGGTCACGTCGGCGTAGAGCACGTAGTCCGAGCAGGACCTTTGAGACCATCTTTTGCCTGGCTTTCCTCTCCGATGAATTAAGCAGTGCAGTGCGGCGATGCGTACATCAGGCGGGTCTGCAAGGTGTGGTAAGAGTGGTCGATATCCCACTGTCTAATCTAAAATGGCAACCTGTTCGAAACCGCGCTTATGATCTTACTTGCTCTATCCTAATTGTGTGGTCTGCCCATTTGGTAAAGAGGGTAAATGTATGCAGTCCGGGATATATTACATGCCTTTCATGCGGGATACATACATTGCGAAGCAGGGCGCCCTCTTTGTTGTCGCATAAAAGAGCATATGGATGGAATGGAAAAGTTAGGAGCAACTACGCCGCTGGGAA